GCTTTTCTTCTGTGGGAGTAGCTGTCGACGTAGTTGTTTTCTTTGAATTTTGACCTCCATTTGACGAAGTTGTTTGTTCTTGGTTCTCGCTCTCGCACTGGTCCTTTTCTTCACGCTTGCTGTTGTGTAGGAGTCGGTTGTGTGATTCTTTGCATCCGTCTAGACCACAGATCCTCGATCTAGTGCATGCTCGGCCAACGTGGTTGTGACCTAGGCATCGATAGCATAGACTGTGTTTCTTTGCTGTGTCCCATCGCTCTGGAACGCTCATGGCTTTAAATTTTTCACATTGYCAAATAGGGTGGTTCTGTTCACACACTCTGCAGCTCCTACGTTTGTCTGTGTTGGTAGGCCAGGTTTTTGATTCACTGAAGAAGGTTCGAGCTTTTCTGTGAGTTTCTGTGCTGTTCAACATTCTGCGATGAGTTTCTATGTTCGATATGCCATGAAGAGTCTCAGATGCAATAGTCTGGAATTCTGCTTCCTGAAGTATCCACTTGCGCAACGTTTCTACACTCTCTGATTCGTAGTTTTCGTAGATCCATCGATGATACCGCGCCAGCATTTGCTCGGGCATCTTTTGCGTTCCCCATGCGGATTGGTTTGAAGTTCTCAAGTTCTTCTAAGTACAATGCAATTTGTCGTCTTCTACCACCATACTTCCTGTCGAGTCGACTTKTAGCAGCTTCGTAGGCTGAGGCTGAATGTCCYAGATTCTCTATAACTTTTAGTGCTTCACCAGACAAATACTGTCGTAGCTGGAGCAGTTTGTATTCAGGTGTGGCTGGTGCTTTGTCGATACAAGCGATGAAGGCTGCTTTCCAATTTTCATATGTAGATTTGACTCCAGAGAATACTGGGATTGAAACTCTTTTTAGATGTTTTCACAGATCTTGGCCGATTTCTCCAGAAGGCAATGAAGATTTGTTTGGTGTACTGAAGTTAGCAGGGATTTTACGTTTTGTTTCTAATGGTGATCTTTCATCATATCCATTAAACGCAAAGGGAAATTCAAGTTCCTTATTCATCTCTCTTTCAAGTGCAACTTGTTGTTGCCTTGACTGTTCTTTTGCAGAAAATAATTTGTCTCTAGTACTACGAGATCTAGATTCAAGTTATTCTAATTTTTTGCATATTCTTGCTCGAGTTTGCTCTTTTCAGCAGCGATGACTCTTTCTTCCTCTAAAACTGTAGCTTCAACTCGTGCTGCATTTTATCTTCCAATCCATTCTTCAGCATGTAGGTTTTGAAATCTCGGTGRCATATCTGCCGCAATGCTCGCGGGCTCGTCTTTTCTAGCGTCTAAATAATCCTGTGTTCTGTCCTGAGCGTCGGCGAATTCTCTTTCGATTTGTTCCATTTCWTGGCTCGTCTTCGCTATGTTAACAGTGTCATTCAATTTTCTATACTTATCAGACAATGAACTCATAATTTCCATGGCTTTGTCCAATAAAGTACCTAAGTTTTGGCGTTCATTACATAATTGTGTACGACTCGGTAAATCATCTTCGAGCAATTGCAGTAAACTATGTCTGGCTCTCGTAAATCCAGCTTTACTTCTCGATTTCAACTGCTTTAACTGTTCGATATCACTCTTAAGCTGTTCACTTACTTCATTGTACGCTTCTTTTTCGATTTTCTCCATTGATTCTTTGAATTCGTCGGCTTCGAAGTCTCCATAAGCCCGCTTTCCTTTGTTTCTTCTTCCCATCGTTTGATGTCTTCGATGATCKATTTAATTCGCTTCTTCGTATTTTCGCTTTGATTTAGTTCTCCTATCACTTTGTCTTTAACCTTGCTCTGCTACCAGCAGCTGGCTCGAAGGATGCCAGGTAAAATATGTACGATTTAATTMATCAACATAGTTCGATTACACTTCTACAAACTTCTTTTTTTCCCCGCATGGCCTGGAGACACGTGAACCCGAGTCACGTGTCTTTACACAGGTATACCGATACATTACTTCTAATCAACGAGCGCGAGTCTGATCTTCACAAATTTTTTTAAGTTCACTGCGCACGCGCGAGAAATTGCATTCACGTGGACTCTGAAGCGAGCCAAGATKTCTTTGTTTCGCATTTATTTCTCTTTTATTCTAAACATTTTCCCCTGATAATTTGATTATGGTGCAAGCCTTCAATCGGTTACAGAAATTTTAAACAAAAATTTAACTTAAGAGTTYGATAAGCAGCAACAAAAGGCACAACTCCATGAAGCACCTCAAAWATGCGAACTTTGTATGACTTTAGCCCTCATTGAATGGTATGTACCATAACGAGCTTAAGCGTACACTAAAATACTGGCGCCCTGCTGATGTCCGTTCCTTGAGGGAACCAACATCGGCAGGGGTCTATGATAGCGTAGTATATTTAACTAGGGTGTGGGTGTTAACTTTAACACTTGACGTACACGCTAATAGTTAAACTACTGTCACGTATGGGAAATATTTAGGCTCTTAAATGACTTGAACCTTTGTTTCATTAAACGTCATAAGATATGTCATCATTTTGGCAAAATAAATGTTTTATTGATTATACCTAATCAAAATGTACATCTGAAATCAACAGTATAATTAAATGCACATATTATGTATAAAACTTTCTGACATTGAGTTAAACAAGGTCCATTCAGTATTAATCATCTTGATTTGGCTCTGATATACACCAAAACAAAAAAAAACTGTTCCCTATAAGTATAATTTTGGACATATAATATATATATCCTTTGTTATAGCCTTTTTTTTAGTGTCCCACGGGAGAGAATACAAAGGGCATATATACATTATTGGGAGCAGAATCTTTGTGTTTTGGTGTACAAAACACCAACATATACGTATCAATATATACAAAAGTCTCAGTGTCACAGACACTATTTTTATCCCGCCACTATCKCAGTGGTTACAACATTATTACGGCAGAGAAACGAAAGGTATCGCGTCTGAATAAAACTGATAAAAAGACCTACWAGATTAAGTTAAACTAACTATTTACAAGTGTCTTTTGGGGTCAAGACAATCCCCTGCGCCTTATATGACCGAACAAGAATTGCTAAGTATACTGCTAAAATCAATAAAATATTTACAACATTCCCCCTGCGTCTTAACAGTGGCACAAGTTTTTATAAAAGAGTAATGTAAAAAAATGTTCTTGTAATTATATGAAAGACATTTAGAATTCGATAGAATCTAGGACTGGTCTTTCTTCTGGACAGGAAGAAAGACAACGTGCCACTAATACGGGTAAAGGCCCCAAATTACACTTTTTGTATACATACTCTGCTATCTTGGCAAAACTATAAACGTCGCTCTTTACGGTCTGCCCACTTCGTCCTTCGGGGATTTCAGGAGCGATATGTCCATAGTTATTCTTGTAAGCTTTGATTTGCACCTCTGTCATCATTCTAGGCCCTTTTGGGTTAGATATCGGCCTACTTTTGCCAAAGTCAATTATTACAGGGTGGTACACTGACCCTCTCTTGTCCAAAACAACATTATTGGACTTTAAGTCATTATGTAGGTAACCTACATTATGTACGTGCTGTAGTGCACCTTTAACTCCCTCTAACAGCTTTCTCCATTCAGGTTTCTTTGTTATCAAACCTCCTCTTGTCGCCTTTGCCACCDTTATACTTTGTGCCCCCTCTCCATGGAACTGGAGCACTAGAAAATAGGGCTCCTTTTTACTAGTGACCCCGTATAGCATTGGTAGACCGGGGTGGTCTCCAAGCTTCRAGACGATAGAAGCTTCATTCAGAAGCTCCTTTCGTGCTCTGTCGCTTGCTTCTGCCTTTTTTTCACTCCCAATACAAGACACACGAAGCTCTTTCACTACGACCGTAATCCCTCTGTAGAAGGCTAAATAGCAGGAGCCGTAGCTCCCGCTTCCTATGTGCTTTGTCGTGCGAACAACGTTGATCGGATTTATCTCTTTTGGACAGAAAACTGCCTGGCGAGGTTTTTTTCTAGCTGGTCCCTGCTCGTCAAGACGTTTTTTCGCAATCAGCTCCTTCGCACGCTCTTCAATCCTCCGTTCGCGATCTTTCCTTCTCTCTTCCGCCGCGTTTTCTTTCTTTCTTTGTAGCCATCGTTTTGTCTTTTCCTTACGTCGCTCTTTATGATTCATAGTAACTAACTATAGTAACTAMATGGAATTCCAGATCGCTTACAACAGTGTTCAAGTAACCGCAACTACTGTTTGATACACAAGGATATCCGGGTGATATTTTCACGTCATAGCTCCATAATGCGATGTTCAAACGCTTAATTTGAAACCAGATTTGCGTGAAAATCGTAAAATAGTTTATCTTCATTACTTACCAGGAACATAAAGGTTGTGTGCAGAATTTAAACCCTTGACAACGTCACCTAGCCACTTGAGGTATCGAAGGTGTTCCTCTTTGTCTTCGATTTGTTTCTTTYGAGGGAAAGCTATCTGTTGGCCTTCATGATAGAATTTCAGGTTTTCTGTTAATGTTCGCTTTTCTTGTGGATGTCGTTGAAAATGGTTTTCCAATGCCCTCCTCATCTTAAAACTTCTAAGGCACACAAAACAGTCTATGACATATGTTGTCGACATTTTCGAACAGCCAAATAAACTTTAAAGGAAAAACGAAGCTGTCCAGATAAGCTGTCAAAGCTGTCCAGATAAGATAAGTACGGAGAACTTACATATATCATGGGATATGATATATGTGATTAAGTTAGATCTTCTCTCAAATATACAGTTGATCTAACTCGAATTACGGCTGAAACGGAATAGGTGTGTCCAGGTGCGGCGGTAGTGAGTAAGCACCCATTTATAGTTTAATTTTATATMTATGATACCAAAGAGGCAAGATTTTGCTGTAACTCCGAGTTTCGGGMTACACACTCATCAGACAGTATTTAATGGGATCAGCTACTTCCTCATACGATTAGTTTAATTTTATATATAGAAAGAAATCCATCTATTCAATCTAGTACATTAGACCCTAAAACAGAGGTCCCCACGGGGAAATGACTTGAGTTGGGCCTTGCTCAGGGTTTAGATGTCCGTAGGGTCGCGGTCACACAGTATATACAACCCACGGGTAGCATTGAAAACATAAAGTTGGATCGTCAACCTATGTGCTTGAATATCGTWTGTTTTTTACTTGTTTTATAAGGTTCAACTCGCTTCGGCTTGACTTTTAATTACTCAACGAGGAGAGCGTAAAAACTACGCTTCTTTCAGTGTAAATTGAATTATCAGTAAAATGTTAAGTCAAACCATCAACTGCTCTGTCAACCAAGACGTATTTCTATGTCCAAAGAATTGGTTTAATGTCCTTCGAGTAAGGAAAAGTTTAGAATTAATTTAGTATTTTTGACATGAAATAACGATTAAGGTCACGTAGTATGTGACACAGCATGCAATTTCCTGTTTTTGGAAACTAATCTGGCCTCTGATTGGTCAAAGCCCTCTGGGGTTTCGATAGACCCTACTACTTGATTCGGGAACTGTCATGGGTTATTCTTTTGTTCTTTTTGATGTATCYATGGAAATACCCCGTGGGTAAATTCACCTCGGGATTATCGGTTACACACAGAATGGTCATTCCCCGCCGGTCTAGAGTGATTTACCCACGGGTAAAAGGCCTAGTGTAACCRCAACTAGTATCGCCAAAAACATAAAGCACGGGGCAATGCATCGTATTGTGTAACATTTTAAAGCACATTCCGGAAGTCGACTTAGAAATGTAAAGTAAGGCCTAGTATCCACAAGTACACACAATAATTACGACGAATGTTGAGGTCTCCGAACCTATGATA